TGACACGGCACGCTGCCGCGCTCCGGCCCTTCCAGCCATTGCTAGGTCCCCTACGGACCCCCGCTCCTGCGAGATCACCCTCTCCTTCTTCATCCTCCTCCTCTTCCCGATCTGCCTCGTCCATTGGTGCTGAGAGTTTCAGGGAGCAGGATGAACCATCACCAGCCGGAGCATGAGCACCCCGAGCACTTCCAGACGCCGCTTGCAGATCGCTTGTTGCGGCATCGGTTTAATGAGGAGAGGCAGTTGCGGTACGACATCCAACAGGTGAACATGCCAGCGCCCGGGGTTGCTGATTTGGCAGCATACTCGTTGCTTTGCGATCGGCTGACATATGCGGGAGTGTACGTGGACGTGACGCAGTTGCCTGGCTGGGAGACGACCCGAGTATTCATTGAGTTCCGTGCGCTCCAGGTGGCACCTAACTTCGTGCACAGCGTCGCCACCTTCATCGGAGACTTGACGGTCCTACCGCAGCAGAATTGGGAGCCGGCACGCAACTTTGTGCGCGAATACCCAGTGGAAGCGGCCAGATCAGTGGCGAGAGTGCAAGGATGGGGGGGACACCGATTCACAGCCCACGAAGTGCTGCTGCGTAGGGCAGATGACGGACCGATTGCGTTGGTGCCGCAGCTCCCTGCGCTTCTCCCTCCCGCTGCTCCTCTCAACCTCCAAGCTATTCCCCCTGTCCCGTACTAAATGCCTCCTTTCTTCTCCTACACCACCCTCCCCTACCAGCTCACGGAAGGCCCTTACCCCATGCGCGAGTTCTCGGAGTATTTGGTGGATCTAACTGACGTGGAGCCGCTGCCCTTCGCCGACGAAGACGTGTGGGAGTTGCACCGTGCGCTGTACAAGTCGGTGGCGCTGGGGATGTTCTGGTTCTTCGTGGATCACGAAGACCACGCTATCGGGGAGCACTTCGTCGTTTACTACGTCATCGCGCGGCCCAAGCCAGCGGAGAAGGAAGGGACGGTGGCGCTGCACCCCTTCGCCCAACTCCAAACAATCGATTCGGGATTGTTGGAGCTCCTACATCTTGAGCTCCTCTCCATTGCACAAGTGATCGCGAGCGAGGAGGAGGAGATCCAACCACGATTGCGGACGGTGACGGCCCCGCGGAGAACGTACAACGCGGTCGTCATCCCGGATTACATTGCGCAGCGCGCGGAGAGATTGGAGGACTTCCCGGAGGAAAGGCCGTTGCGTCCTCCCTCGTCGTATCCTCGACCAGCGCCACCGAAGGGCCCCAAGAAGACGCCGAAGAGGAAGAGACGCCACCCGTCGCCAGGAGCGCAAGGCAGCAGGATCGGCGGCGACAAGGAGGTGATTCAGCCCGCGCGTACGCGGATTCCTGACCCTGTGCCTGGGAGTGCGGCGACGCTCGTTAAGGAGACTATCGTGCCATCGCCGCCCATTCCGCGTGTGCCCGATCTCAATCTTGATGGAGCCGGGCCATCAGCAGCAGCAGCAGCCGGAGGAGGAAGCCGAATGGGATTTCCGGATCCCATATCCAGACCCCCTGTCCTCGCAGGACCTCTCCGTTCCCGCCAGCCACCCCGGGGTGCCCCGGTCATTGACATTAGTARTTCATCCGAGMCGGACGGTCCATYCGACCGAGSWGGACTTYATGGTGGAGCCCGCCACCATCAGGCTCGAGGCCATCGCGGGGGCGCCGCGCCCTGATCCGGCGTGGGAGCCATATCTGACACCCCCTTTCCAAGGGTGTATTGTGGCGTGATTGGCTGGGACGCTCATCTACGAGACCGGGCAGCGTCCAAATACGATGTACCACTTCCTGGTCTTCACGGCGGAGAAGCGGGAGCGGCGGCCTTACACCGAGACTCGTGTGGTGATGACGGGTCCAGGGCCCCGATCAGTGCGCAAGCGGGTGGTGCGAGCGGTAGCGGATCTGGCGCCACGTGTCCTCTCACATGTGCCAGGGGCTTTCCTTTACCCCTCATTCGTCCAGCATCACTTCCATGAGGAAGATGCGCCGACGACTCCTGCGGCAATGGCCGCTTTTCTTCCACCTATTCCGCCCCCTCTCAATCCCGACATAGATCACTTCCTCTSATCACCCTCGTCTACCTCTCCCCTGTCCTCTCCTTCTCCTTCTCTTCTTTTTCTTCTTCTTCTTTTCCGGATCTAAAGCTCGCGCGACGATACGCGCTGTAAAAAAAAAAAAAAAAAAAAAAAAAAAAAAAAGTTTTTACTTACCTATCGGGCCAGCTGACGATGAAGGGGCCGCCCGATCGAATGTATACTATGGGAGGAAGCGATAGAGGATGCAGGATGCATCCTCGTAGATTAGGAAGATGATCGGGCCAGCTGACGATAAAGAGCCCGCCCGATCATCCATGATATGATGACATCAGCAGTCGGGAGACTGCTAATTTTTCGGAAACCCCTGCGTATCACAGATGTGATAAGCTCAGATCCGTACCGCGCGGCTTGCCGTATCCCTGGGGAAAAATCCCGCGGAAGCCCCGAAGTATGGATGCGGATAGAAAGGGGTTTTTCTTTCTTTTTGCTTTTGTTTTCTTTTTGAAACGGCTTTTTCATTTTGTTTGGTTAATAACTCCCGCGGGTGAATAGCGGCCGCGGTATGAAGACCAAGAAAGGGGTGCGGTTGGGACTTTTTGAATTTTTGCGCGCGCCCCCAAGCTCCGATTTCTTCGCGCGTCTCGCATCCCCGTTTCTTGCTTTGCATCCTCGCGCCATCTTCCCTTCTTGCTGCGCGCGTTTTCCCCATACAGGACTCTTCGTCTTCCCCTACGCCCAGCTTGATCCTTACCCCGTCTTCCTCCGCGAAGTGATTGGCTGCATAGTTGGGATGCTCGGATCAATATGGAAAGCGGGAAACCGCGCACCACTTGGACGAACACCCCAATCACGTAGCCATGCAATCTCGCGGGTCGAACCCTCTAACTCCCCACCTCTCTCTCTCCTGTCCTGCTCATCTACACCCTGCGCTGCCCGCACCTCACGCTGTTAACCCGCCGCCTCCCGCGCTATAAATTTGCGCAACCCTCTCCTCTCCTTCTCTTTGATCTCGGCTGCAATGCTGCACGAGCTATGCGCGAGAGTTTGCGGCGCCGAACAGGCTCGACGAGCACAAGGACGGGCGGAGTGACGACGTGGGGTGGATCCCGCTGTAGTCTCGGGGCGAAGCAGTTGGAGGGACTGAGCAGTGGTGGGGATTGGACGCCGGCCGCGACAGGGCCCTGTGGCTATTGTGGTCGGTGGTCTTGGGAAGTTTTGAAGGCTGCGCCTGAGGGCAGAAGTTAATTGAAATTTTAGTGTACAAGAAGGACTCGCTTTTATCTCCATTGCTGCTTTGTCTATGCATGTCGTGGGTGTGAAGCCATGAGTGATGGGAGCTGGTTATGCGCATGAGTGACGTCGAAGGTCCATAGATGATTAGATGTCCTGTCAAGGGTTGTTGATTGCATGCATGTATGTGTGTATGTACTCGTCCGGGCGG